AAGGCGTAATTATGCCTTTCCAAAAGGCGTTATTACGCCTTTCCAAAAGGCGTTATTATGCCTTTCAAAAAGGCATTTTACGCCTTTTTAAAAGGCGTTATTATGTCATTTTAAAAGGCATTATTACGCCTTTCCAAAAAGCATTATTAAGCCATTTAAAAAGGCGTTATTATGCCTTCCAAAAAGGCGTTATTATGCCTTTTAATAAGGCATTATTACGCATTTCCAAAAGGTTTTATTGCACCTTTCCAAAAGGCGTTATTAAGCCTTTCCAAAAGGCATTATTACGCCTTTCCAAAAAGCGTTATTATGCCTTCTTAAAAAGCATTATTACGCCTTTTATTTTTCAATACATGATGTACTTAGCCCACCCTTGGGGCTGATTATAATTAGATTTCAAGGAAAAAAGATTTTTAAATCTGTAAAATATTTTCAGTGTTAAACCAACTTGGTCCTTCTCTGATGTCAGACACCTCTACCAAGGTGCATGGATTTCACAAATTTGGTTGAAGGCTAATTGCTCATTATACCTATGCAAATAGTTTGCCTGCTTTTTTCCAAGAGGACAGAATAATATTTTCAAATTTGACATGAATTTTTAATACATGGCTAGCAAAGCCCAAAGCTGGCTCTGCCTATATCCTGGATTTTCACAAGTAGAGTGTCAACTTGAATTCTCTTAATACGCATGCAAACAGCTGTCTGTGAGATGTGCAGGAATATAGAAAATACTATAATTTATAATATGATTTATAATATTAAAACTATAATGTAAATATTGCATAAGTAAAGATGGCTTTGATTCAGTCTTTCATATATTTATTATTTTAAAATTAGGCCTTTCCATTTTTTAATACAACTCCTTTTCAAACAGTATGAATGCAAGTGTGTGTGTGTGTGTGTGGGGGGGGGGGGTGTCTCCCCCACCCCAATTTTTGGGAAAATAGTCTTGCTATAGTTTAAATATAAACATTCATTTATTGATTGCTTGGTCCCTTAACATTTTGTTGCAGTATGGTTAAACTCTGGCAAGTCATTGCATTTAAAAAAAGTTTTACCAAAAAGTTAGAAAAAGGTTCCCCTCGAGTTTAGGCAGTTGATTTTTTTTTTTCGAGGGTGGGGTTGGGTAATTTTGCCTTTTAAAAAGGCGTAATAACGCCTTTTTGAAAGGCATAAAAACGCATTTTGGAAAGGCGTAATAACGCTTTTTAAAAAGGCTTACGAGATTTCGCCTTTTTGGAAAGGCGTACTAAGGCTTTTTGAAAGCCGTAATAACGCCTTTTGAAAAGGCGTAATTATGCCTTTTTTCGCGTTATAACGCCTTTTGGAAAGGCGTAATTACGCCTTTATTTGCGTTATTACGCCCTTTTTAGCGTTATAAGGCACTTTGAAAAAAATATTTCTTTTCAAAGTGCGTTAATATCGACCATTTTATCGCACTTCGAAAAAAAAAATGTCCACCGCTTGGTCAATATTCTTGCAAATTTTAGGTATGATAAATAATTATTTGAACCTGGTTGGATAACTTTGCGGTGATAACGTCACTAGGATCTTAGATATAGACGTTTTAAAGATTTTTAAAGGTTGTTTTGTTCCCAAAGGTGCTCGTTAATGTTATAAAAGGGAAATAGGTCTTATAGAAATAATGGAGGAATGATTGTTTAATAGCACAATTTTTTTTTTTTTTTAAATTTAAAAAAAAATTTTTTATCCAGTCTGTAATAAGTTCGGCAGATATAGGGGTCGATCAGCGACTTAAAGATCGCATTTTTCTTAGGGAAAAAGGAGTAATAATGATTTTTCCAGTTAAAAAAAATTTCCCGCGCAATATGATGGTCTTTCTAGAGTTATTTGATTTAAGGAATGAATTTAATAGCTACCCAATTTATACGGTATAAAGTGGGTTGGGGCAGTTTACGCTTTATAAACCGCGAAGCGGTTTATAAAAAAGCGTAAACTGTTCCAACCCACTTTATACCGTATAAATTGGGTAGCTATTAAATTCATTCCTTATAATTTAATTTTCATTCATTTAGTATAAGAAAAAAGATGATTACCCTTTAAAAAATGACTTCAAATTGTACAAAATTTAAATGTAACGTCAGGCGGATCGATACGTTTTTGACGGAAGTCATTGTGATGTAGGCAACCCAATTTATACGATATAAAGTAAATCTTTTATCCAATCAATCAGAATTAAATTATAAGTATTTAGAAGTACGAAAAAATTGTTTATTCCCGCTTAATATGATGGCCTTTTTTTATTGGTATTTTTATTGGTATTAAGAGGTATGAAAAAAAATATTTATGCATTTTATACGTGTTTTTTTTTTTGGGGGGGGGGAGGGGTGTATTTGATTTTGTAAAGCTACTTTGGCCAAAGTAGTTGTCTATGGTTGCTTAGATCAGCGGCGATATGACCCCCGAGCCTCTCTTCTTTAATATAATAGGGTGCGTTATTATTCTTCTTTTTCAGGAAAGCTTATCTCAATTTTTTCATCTATTAAATACGTTAACTCAAATTAATTGAGAGAAAGTATATCAATGTCATACCAGTTATGTAAATACATATGTTTGGATAGGAAAGTTAAAGAGTTGGAGTGAGTGACCTTCTACCTGTCTTCTCCTCGTTCTCGATGAGGGAAGATCAATTCATCGGTTTTTTGAAAGAAAGGTACCAAAATAATGCTGTCTATTACTAAAATCTAAGTCCAGAATTTTTGTTTTATACATATTTTTTTCAAAGTGCGTTAAGTGTCTCCATGGTAAAAATGTTGATGTACACACTTAACGCACTTTGAAAAAAAAATTCAAAATTTGCATTGATTTTGTCCCAAATTTAACGCACTTTGAAATTTTTTTTCAAAGTGCGTTGATTTTGTCCCAAATTTAACCCACTTTGAAAAAAAAATTTCAAAGTGCGTATTTTTTTTTTCAAAAAGCGTTGCCACATACCATACATGCAGCTCTCCTTAGTTTTAATGTAAGATTCGAGTGTAAGTGCAAAGAAAATGCGAGACTTAAAAAATAAACACGTGTAAATGGTGATAAACATTTAATTTTTTTTAAAAGAATTAATGATGATTGACGCGCAGGGTGATGGATTTCTTACCTTCAGTTTCCCCTATACCCCGAGACGGATAAATTGCCTCCCACGGTATACCCCAAACCTACATGAAATATGAAGATAACGAACAGTATTCAATCTCAAAAGTCCATTCAAACAATACAAACATCAGGAGCAACGCAAATAAGGACCTCTAAAACATAAGAGGTGGGATGAGGTGCCATGGAGGAGTGAGCATCCCCTGCCGACCGGTCACACCGTGTGCTCCTTGTCATGATGGTATAAAAGAGAATCTAAAACAGTATCTGTGATGAAAATTTTTCACAATTACTCTCTCTGATTGAATACATTCAGTTTGGTTCTGTATGCATGTATAGAGTTATATGTAGCTATAGAATTTACGTAAATATCATCCCTGCGCCCTTAACCCCCCACCCCCACCCCATTCCGACGGGTTCTGTGAAATTGAAAATTAAAAGCCATTGTATTATTTGTGTACTTGTACCGTTTTTCTATGTTAAAAATAGTTGTAATTAATGGGAAAATCCAAACATCTTGCTCTAACAACTGCAATGTTATTTAACTACATACAGCTCTAACTAAAATGAAGGTATCTACTGTAGCGTTTTCCTCATACATATATAATAAAGATACATGTATATATTTTTTTAACTTAGCAAACGTGTACTTCAGAGACAATGTAATACACAGGATGTTGAAATAACAGTCCATTTCTCTATCACATTCATGCATTACATATAGTGAAACTTTTAGCTATACACGTACTATATTCATGTTGCTGGAAATTTATTGCGAATTGTTGCTGGACATAAAATGAGAATTATCGCATAGGCAACACATCCAACCAGGCATGATATGTCTATTTTACAGAGACAGCAATTATATTTCTGAACACACGACATAAATCTAGCGTGAAACACATGCTTGGTGAAGTGTATCTTGGACGTGTCAGGCCCGTAGAAAGCAATTTCAGTTTTTTTGGGGGGCGGGGGGGGGGGGGGGCACAGCCATACTTTTTCAGTTGAGGGGGCACTATCAACTATCAAAAATTTCTTGACAAGCAAAAAAAAAAAAAAAAAAGTCATCAGACTTTTTTATTGAGGGGGCAAAAGCATAAGAATTATAGTATCTATATTTTCTACAGTAATCTATATATCCGCAAAATAATTGGGGGAGCACCCCCTCCCCCGGTTCCTACGGCCATTTTTAGCTCGCCTGACCAAGAAAATCGAAGGTGGTGCTTTTCTGATTAAAGATGTTCATGTGTGTGTGTGTAGTATACATGTAGATATCTTAATTCGTTTTATTTTCATGGTGTTCTTCAGGGTTTTGGTCACAATTTTAAATGCAAAGACACATCTATGGGTCAACGTAAATCATTTTTTCCAAGGGAATTAAGGGGGGGGGGGCAAATATGGAATCATTTTAAAAAAATGAAACCGAACAAGCCAGAAAAGACCAAAACTTATCTAAATACATTCTTTTTGACTACAGATTCAAAATTATTTACAATCTGGTCCTTGTGGCATTATAGTTGGAAATACTGTGTGAGGGTAAGGGTGAGGGTGTTAATGTGTGAGTTTGTCCTTGTGTGAATGAAAGTGACGTAATTTGCATCGGGATCGAAGTCGAATTGGGAAGCTCCGCTT